AATTGTTTGAAAGAACATGAGTTTGCAGCCTACCAAATAACATTTAATTTAAGATACATAATGAAAACAAGCACTCATATATAGCAAATTAATTAACATGTCTTTTTTGTGGAATCTACAAGACAGTTCTTAATTCTGAAGGATTGCATTTAGCTTTATATAGACAAGAACCCTACAAATGCTTAAATAATATGAATATTTTAAAATATTAAAGTCTCTATATAGCTAGATTTCCAAAAAGTCAAGCTCTTTTTTGTTCATTTCTTTGTTTCAAGGTATCTTTATTCTAATTCCCCTTTATCCAACTCTGTCCAAATTTTATCTGATGTCGTACATGCAAGGCATCCCTGACAGCAGGAACAAAAACCCGATACTGCTCTACCTTAAAGAAACACCTGGATAAACGTCTCGACACAAGTGCTATAAAATCTTCCTCGCTTCTACGCTCTTTGTCATAATAGTTTTAACTTTCTTTTTGTACATTCCCATCACAGGAAAGGTAGAAAGGGCTTCCATTAAAAAAAAAAAAAAAAAAAAAGCCATGGGGGCTAAGTAGCTAAGACAAGGTCAGAATCCCACTGGAGAAGGGAGGTGGGAACAGGAAGACAAGACACTTAGAACTTGTACTCTGCCACACTTAAGTATTTATGACTTATGGATCCTATGTGAAGATGAGGGATTCTCTTAAGAGGATGCAGGCACTACAATCCTGCTTTTAGTCTTAACATTCCCTCTTCAGCAAGCAGGATGGGCAATTCCTGAAATCTTTCTTTGTGGTGTTTATAAGTGCTTTGCTATATAGTATATGCCTATCCTAAATTCCTCTCCTGGATCAAGACCTGCTCATCCTTCAGAGGTCAGAGCTCGTCAGCTTCATTTTGCTCTTCTATAAAATGGCACAGAGAAAAATTTAGGTGTCTTTTTTTTTTCTTCTTCTTCTTTAAATTTTATCAAATGTTGGAGATTTCCATTTCCATCACACATAATAATAATCATGTAGGATAAGGGTGTCTCACTGGCATTTGGAAACTGCTCCCCATTCCACACACACTCTACCTGGAAGCCGCCAGGAACTGCCTCCTGCTGCTCGTGCCGTGTGGGCAGGCTGATGAACGGGACCCGACACCCACTGCCAGAGCCCTGGAAGCACAAGAGAAATTAGGTGAGTGACCCAATTTTGCATGAGGTGCTGCAAATACACCCAGGGATGTAAGAGGCAAGGGCAGCTACTGTTTGCACTGCATATCCTGCCTTTCAAAACAGTCCACGTAACTCTGTGGGATAAGGAAAGAAACTTAACATGTAGCTGGGTTTCAATGAAAGGGACAGTAAAAAGATAGCGCAATCCTAGGTACATCCCCAGGAATTTGCCCCATATTTTCAGCTGAGTCTTCGTCCCTCAACAGGCTACTCTTCTGCTTTGAATGCAGATTTCTGGATGGCCAACTTCACTGTCTCACAGCTGAAATCTCCTCTCCAGGACAGAAATTTGTTATTCTGTGCAACGATTGAATCCCTCAACCCTTCAACGCGTGCTACGCCACAGAGATCGGGCTCACCATGATACGCGTGTCTAACAACAAGCCCCAGGGGAAGCTTACAGAAGAGTCCTTAATAATAGAGCTTTTCACACAGGGAAAGAACAAGACACTTCACTGCTTTCAAAAGGAAAACATGCTCAAGAATTACTGACCTCCACGGCGGTGATGGAGCCTCCATTCTGATGTGCTACCGTTGACTCCTGCCCTGTGACCACCGCAGTCACTCCATCGGGTGACAGTGGAGACACCCCTGACAAACCATCCGTGTCCAGGATGGGCAAGGGGCTACCAGGGATAATCCCGGCACTTTTAGCTGCCAAGTCAATAGCACCTTTTGTGAAGCAGAAAGAAAAACACATTAGAAGTCTTTTCTTTGCATGGTGACTCTGTTGTGACTCTTTAAAAAGATCATTTGTAAAAAATTGGCCAGATAGCCGAAACCTAAAATATGCAAAGAGCAAAAATGGTGATCATCTGATCAGCTACGTCAGCGGTTTCTGTTTAGAAAGGACAACATTTCTTTCAGCTGAACATTTGGAACTCTTCTGCCCTGCTCCAATAGTGCAAGGCACTAGTTGGGATGATATCAGTAAGAAAGCACCATTTTCTTTGATTTCCAAAGGCACTAATGATTTGTAGCTGGGAAAAAGAAACATTGCGATATCTTATAGACACACTGCAACTCTCCTCGTGTTCAAGGAAAACTTACTGGACAGGTGGTTGGTAGCCTGTGTTGGAAGAACCTTGGGCACGATGGGACGAGAAACCGCAGCTTTATTCAATGAGGACTGGATTGGCCGAAATGAACCTCTCCCTAGGACAGAGGATTAAATAACTCTCAAGCAAATGAAATCTAACATCTTTAAAGCAGAATACAAAACAGTTGGGTGGAAAGAAAATACATTCCAAGCAGCAGAGAGCTTTAGGAGAGACAATGATGAAGCAGATGTGAAACAGTAATAAAAGCTAACCAGTACCCTTCCACAAAAAAAGGCAAATGCAGGTGCCGCTGTGTTCCTGCAGCTGCCTTCATTATTTTCAGTAAAGACAAACTTTAACCTCTAATATAGATTTTTACATTAATGCTGAGATGCGAGATAACCTGTACTACTGTTGTGATTAACAGTGAATCGTTAGGAAGGACAACTAGGCAGAATTGATTATAATGTATGACATTTAATCTACAGTCTCTCTGATATTAGAAAAGGTTCAATATGAAGACTAGAGTAAGTGATTACACCCCTCCCCATAGAAAGACATTCTTATCTTGGTAACTTTTTCCAAAGTTTTTTTCTCCTTGAAGAGAATTCTACAGTACTGAAATAAGGGAAGGAGTGAGAGGTGGAAGAAAATTATCTCCACTATAATCACGATTTCCTATCCAGGAGCACAAACCTATCATCCTGCAGGAAGTGACTCAATCAACTGGTAAATGACCTTGTGGTTTTGATAGGATATTTTCCTCTTTTGAAAAATCTTTCCGTTGTGCAGTGTTAAGAGACACTTTCGAATCCCTGTCATGGCAGCATTGCAGTGATGGGAGATGTGCAGACTCACCTGTTATGGATGAGTTGGACAGGATAGAAAAGGAGCAGACGTGCTGGGATGGATTTCCAGATGGCCTAGGGAGCAGCGTTCGCTGTACGAGATGCAACAACAGACAGAACATATTTAAATGCAGAGCAGAGGACAAAGCTAATCTTCTAAGGTCTGGAGATTCACAATCGAACTTAAGGTTGGATCTAGATTGGGCAAATTCATTTTCCACCGTGATTAAACAAGTGTGAATTAAGGAGACAGCAACATGTATATTGCACAGAGCAGAATATCTCATTACCAAAAATAATTTGTATGTAATTTGTAAGCAAACCATAGATTCCATTCTCAGAACATGGGAGACCAAAGAGTATGCTGAAGCACCTTGTTTTCCCCAAGGATGGTTCCATTATTTTGTTTTTAATCCATTTCATGTATGTTCTTCACCTGCTGCAAATCCCTATGGAATGTCTGCGGTTTAACAGCAGCATCTGCCCTTTCGCTGGGATCGCCATAGTCGCACAGAGGTTAGTGTGTGAAACGTGGCTAACAGGCTGCCTCCTACTTAAATCTCCTCTAGAAATCCTAGTTTGTTTTGTAAATCAGTGTTCCCTCAAATAGGGTATGTTGTGTTCCTTCAAACAGAGAATGTTTTCTTTCACTACACCACCTATTCCCACCCCAATTTCACAGCAATTAGTGAGTAAGAAGCAGGAAAAAATATATCTAACAGGCGATCCTGCTGCACTGCAATTGCATTGTTATTTGTTGCAGTAGCAGTAACAGATCAGATGAACACATCACGTGTGTCAGTACCAGGAGGGGCCAAACAGCAGAAGCTGCTTTCAGGTGAGCGGCCTCCTCCATCCTCAAGCTACCCCACACACTGGATTGCTGGTTTCAACACTCCTCGCATAGGGAATATATTATGGATGCTTAAAATACAGAATAAACCACTTGTTCTAGTCAGATGCTCGGTTTTACTTTTCCAGCAGATGTAAGAGGGGAGTTCAGCTAGGCTCAAGTCATTATTAACTAGCTGGTATCTAACTGGGACGTGCAGCCCAGGCATTCCCCACCCTGCAGATTTTTCTGACCTGAACCACCAACGGCTTCCGCAAGTGCCTGTTCCGCAGCTTCCTGGGCTTTGGCAAGAAGAAGTCTGACTGCATCTGCACGAGAAGAGGAAATGCGTTAGGAAGTATTTCAATTCCTAAGTGTTTCAAACACACAGGCACAGAACAAATGATAACCCCCAAGCTCCATTCTCCAAGGAAAAAAAAACTTGCAACTATATAGGAAAATACTTCATTTCAGACTGTAATTTACTCTTTGCAAAACTACCTTTAGATTAAATATATCTCACTTGATTTTGATGCTCCAGCACTAACATGGATATTATTTCTAACTGAAAGCTGCTCCAAATCATAGCCCAGTAAAAGCCAAGCCTCGTGGGATATGCAAAGCACATCTTCCTTAACTAAAAATGAAAACTTCAGCTTCATCTCCCATTGCTTCTGCTAGGGTAGGGAAGTTTTCCCACCAGCAACATGTACGTTTTGTTCTTTATTTTATTGAGACAAAACTTTTCCCCAAAGAAGCTATTTAAATGCTTAATAATTGTAGCTGGTGTGACACTGTTATTGCGATTTTATATATAAAAATAAAATAAATAATTAAATCTCAGCAACAAGGATATATTAAATTTTGTTGCACGAGAAGGATGTCAGCTGTTTTAAACATGTCAAAAATACTTTGCTGGAGCAGAGTGAACAAGTTTAATCGGGTGGTATGACAGAGTGGAGGTCAGAAGGGTTGGGGTCACTACCAAGCCTAATTATATGATCCAAATGCGGCCAGTCCCATCAGGTTGAAGGCCATGCTTGAAAAATCCCTCCCGGAGCAGGATCCCTCGCCTCACTCACGCTGATGGTGTCTAAGTGCTGCCGGAAGGTCAGTTCAGCTTCTTTGCTGGGCAGGAAGAGCTTCCCGTGGCGGCTGTTGGGAGGCAGCGTCGTCGGCACCGCAAAGAGGCCCCCGTCCGCGTCGGCACCTCCCGAACTCGAAGGACCCGCCACCAAGAGAGGCCTGGGGAGGTTTCTCAAACCTGCAAGATTTTAAGGGCCATTTAAATGAAATGAAAAGTAATTATTTAGTAACTGAAGGACCAGACAGAGCTGGGACTTCTGGATTCTGGCTGTGCCATGATACACCTGTGATCTTATTCAAGTCATGAGACCAACCACTTAATTTTTCCCATGTGTAAATTGGTGGTGTGGTCCTACTTCACAAGGACACTGCAAGCATCCACTTGCTTTAAAATCCTTGGGTGGAGGAGGACAAATGCAATTTCATACTACCAAAACTAGAGCGTTGGGACCCAATTTTGAGCCCCACGCAGACAGTGTTAACCAGCCTATCTGTTCTGCTTGCAGAAATACTCAAGTGCCCTTCCCACGGAACAGAACATGTAATGCATTTGATCCCCTGCTTTTGTCAGGGAAAATAACATGGACACAAACTCATTCCACAATCTTTACATGTAACACGGACTTATTTTTCCAAGTGTGGTAATTCAAAGTGTAAACCCTGTAAAATGATTCTCGTGACAGAGGAATCAGAGTGGGGACCAGTTTACTGAAAATATCTCCCCAAAGATGGATGCAATAGATATTTGCATAACAGATAAGCATGCAGGTCTTCTTATCCCCATTTTTCAAAGGAAGTGTTCACAGAAGCAGAGGTTTGCATGGGCTCAGGGGCACTGGGGTCCCTGTTTAAATGAAGAAACTCTCCACTCTGCTGCTCTAAACTCTGCTCAGTTCTACCAGAGGCTACTTAAAACTGCAGCGTGCCGAAGGATCTAAAATAAATCTGGTCTGAGAATGCGAAACAATAGATTAAACAATTAAATGTTTAAATGTTCCAAAAGCAAATGTATTAGGGCCTCATTCCTGAGCAGGAGGTAAGGAGAGCTGCTACACTGAACACAAAGTACAAATTACACTGCAAAAAGTAAGAACATGCAGTTAGAGGTAACTAAAATTACATTTTAAGTATTATGGGTGATTTTGCATCACAGCTATTGCTCTGTTCTTCTCTAAGCCTCTTTGCATGATTCTTCTCATCTCCTTTTCTGTCTTGTGAAGCTGCCAGTTTGCCAGCTCTTTCTATTACTCCGGAGTGAACAGAACTTCCAGTTAGATCTTCCAATCATTATTTTCTACTAGAAAGGCCAAATCAATTAATTTTCATTAAACAGACCCAACCCAAAACCCAACCAAAGCAGTTAGCAGCTAGACAGACTCAGGACCAAATTCTGTGAGGAAATCCACCTAAAAGCAACCTTAAAAGTTTGCTTTCTGATAGCCAAATTACTGCAGCCATTTAATAGTGTCACATGTGAGGGTACAAAGAGGCTTTAAAATTCCTGTATAGTAAAGGCAGAAGTAAAGGCACTCCAGGCAGAGCTGCTAAGGTGCAAAATTAATGTGCTAGGCAGAGCAATGCATTAAATAGCCTTTTATTGCTCTCCTGTTTGAGCCACATAGCTCAGCTGCAGCCAACCCGGCTGTCCTTGGCTGGTACTGCACAAAGGACTCTACATTTTTCACTCTGATTAAAACCTGCATATTTCATTAAACCATACAATCTTAATAATAATAATGCATCTTATAAAAACTAATACAGACAACTCTGTTTTTGAATCAACAGAGGTCTGCACAAACCACAGAGCTGTGCCTGCTTCCAGGGGATCAGGTAGAAAGCCTTTGTATCTTCTTGCTGGTTCTGCCTGGTATTCTCAGTTGATGATCCTTATCCTTATTTAAAATACTTCAGAAATGATTTTCAAGGCATTAGGGGAGGTATAAAGTACAATCTCATAAAACCAAACAAGCTGCAAGTGAAGTTTGATTTTATTTCTGAATCTGATTTAAGAAGATATGCCTTCCTGGCCTCCGTGTCCCACAGAAAGGTAATGATTCCTACATTTTACCTCTTAAATTATCAGGCTCTTTACTAGCAATTTAAGCAAGTGTGTCCCTGTCTGCCAGTCAGTGCAATGAAGCTTTACACAGAGATGAAACTGCTATCACACCATTCGAAAATGGAAACCATGCAGAGCAGCAGCTAGGGGGTTTCACAGCACTGGTTAAATTGCTCTCAGTCCATTGCTCCTTACAGCACGGGTGCAAAAAGGGAGGTCTGTGAACGGCACCTGTAACTCTGGGACTCTGACACTTCCCCTGTTGTGTTTTTTAAAGTCAGAAAGCATTTGCGGGCAGATACAACTGGCAGAGGAATGGAACTGAAACTCCTGGTCTGCAGGGCTGAGGCTCTCAAATCAGTACCTCAGATGGATCTTTCAGTAGAAAAAGAAGGTAATTCACAGCAAGCATTCAGTATTTTATCTCAGCAGAATGCAGGGAAAATTTTCAGTAAAATACTATTTTAATCAGCAAACCTTACTCGGTATATTTATACTCTAGCCCTATAGGCCTCCATGCTCTTGAGGCCCCATGCCCTGTAGCAGCCATTTCCTAACAAGGGTCAGCATCTCTGCACAACTGAGTTGGTAGGACATTTTCTGTACTGTGAACTGCATTATTGATGTGCCTTTTTTTTTTAAAAAAAAAAAGATTTAGAGAAATACTGAATTTATGACAACCTCAATCCAAACTAACAGTATAATATATAGGAGCTCTCCTCCTGGAACTATAGACATATATATGGACATACATATGGACATATGGGGCATTTAGCTGGGTAGAGCTTCCCAAACACTGCTGTAATGCACTAGTGGTCTCGTGCTGCAGTGACTTTTTATTTATGACCACTCACCTGAGGAGCTGGAAGCGGCACTGGGGGAAAAGGTCTTGTTGCTGCGAAGGGCAGCCTGGCTTCGCGCGCAGCCCGGGCTCCTGCTGCTGATGGCAATCACCTTTCCTGGGGGGGTCAGGGACTGCTCCTCCTGCACGGGCTTGATCGGGGACGTGGCGACGGAGCTCATCTCAGGGGTCTGAAAAGGCAAGCGCAGGAGCTGAACACAGCGGTTTATTGGTACAATAATTGCACTGCTAAAGCCATGGCTATAAAAAAAAATAAAGATCTTACTAGAGTATCTTTAGGTACTCTATGTCTCTATGTGTGTGAGTGGTGTTAAAATTCTTTCTCAGCATAGTTGACAAGGTTAAATATCATTGCTTAAATAACATTGTTTTATAATCATATTAGCATTTACAGCGTGTTGGAGCATCCCAGACGGAAAAAAAAAAACCCATCCCCTCACCCCCGCCAAAATATTAGAGAGGAAGACAAGGATCTGCCACAGTACCAAAAAATGGTTGTTTACAAATTCAATGTAAAACTAATATTCATATACTCTGACTGTCAATCCACATGGCTCCTCTGGTTGGCAGTATCCAAAATATTTTCCTGTTAAGCAAGTAAAGATAAAAAAAAACTCTGATTTTTTCCCATTCTTCCCCCTATTTTACACCAAATCACAGCGAAAAACACAGAACCATGTGGCAAGGGGTTTTATTAATTTTCCAGGACTAGACAGTTAATTTCATTAAGCTACTTGTAAGGTTTTCTAGCAAACATTGCCTTCTAAAGAAAACTGTGTGCAACCACAGGCATAAAATTTCCACCCACACTTGACGGCAGTGCAATTCTCTACAGTTTGCTTGATGCTGGTAATCTTCATTTGAAGGCAAGAACCACAGCACAGCTTGGCTTCACTGCCAATCATCTTGAGGAAGCAGCAGGGATCCAAACAGCTGCTCATGCTCCCGCTAACGCGGCCTTTCATGTTCCGGTGGGAGAACCGGCCCTGGAGCGCGGATGCAGCCCGGCAGCTCCGGGCAGGAACGTCGCAGACCTGAAACACCATCCTGAAGGCAGCGACTTCACGTCACGGGCTGGATGTGTCCACGCTCCAGGAGAGTGGAGGGACCTGGCGGCAAAACTATCGCCCTTCCTACTGTTACTTTTGATGAAACGTAGAAGATTTAAGAGCCAATCTTTTCCAAAAGTCTACTTTCAGGGAGGCAATAAATATCATTCTCACCTCCTGAATATACATCTAAGTCCCATGACATTCACTGCCCAAGTGACCGGATTTGTGGGTTTTTTCGTTTTGTTTTGCTGCTTTTTATTTTTTTTTAACTCTTTCAGTTTATTTTTCTGCAGCAGAGTCTGTATAAACTAGTACTTGACAAATAAAGGAAAAGGTTCCCCTTTTTATTAGAACACTGGAGGATACTGGTACCTACCTGGAAGAAGTGCATTATTTTTCAGGAGAATTCTGCTACTTTGACTAAGACACAAACAACATAAATAGCAAATAACAACTGCCTCAAATAATATCATTTTTTTCTCTCTCCTTCTTCTCCGTAAATTTAATGATACTCTCCTCTTTCTAGTCCACAGTAGTTCTATCCTGTTTTCTCCTGCTGTCACACTAGGAGTAAAACTGGCTGCCAAACGAGGAGACTTTGTCATGCACCAGTGACATCCGAGACCAGGAGTCTTGAGAATTTAAACAGAGTCTGTATCAGACTGGAGCTGTATCTCACAGAAGCTGGTTTTACATTTATAAAATAAGTGATATTTAAAAATATCCTACATCCTATATTTATAAAATCACGATCAACAGGAGCTTTAGGGAAGGAGGAAATGGGGACAGGATACTACTCTACCAAAAGCAAAGAGCAAAGTATCACAGGTGTTTGGCAACAGTGATTTATCTGCCTTCTATGCTGGAGTATCTTGAACTCCTCACACACCATCATCCCCGTCTAGGCAGATCTGTTGACTTCAGTCTCCTTTGGAGGGGATGTCCTGAAAAGACGTTCTAGAAAGTTTCATTAACGCCAGTTGTCTGCCCTGGGAATTTTTTTTTTTTTTTTGAAATTAAACACATGTATCTAGAATCTTGGAAATAAAAATGAAACTTATTTTGCCACTTTTACAAAAATCACAGCAGTAGGCCAAAGTATGTTGGCTAGGATATCCGAAATAAATCTGCTCTTTTCACACCTACACTGAGTGTAACTTGAACTCCATTAACACTGGAGATTAATCTTGGACAGAATAGAAAGCATCTAATCTCATGTCTGATCTTTCCAGCAGTCACATTAAATGTTTACTGTAACACTGTTGAAGCTGAGACCCAGGGCAAACCAGAAACTAAAAAAGTAGAAAAAAAGCAGATACAGCATATTGAGGAAACGTCCACCCTGCAGCAAGCTGTTTTGAAATGGTTTTTACATCTGTGATTTACTACGAAAACAAGGATGGGCAGCCATTCCCCAAGTCACATTAGCAAGAGTTTAGCTTCTGGAGCGTAAATGGGAGCTACTTACTGGTTTGGGATTGACTTCAGTTGAGATGAGCTTTAAAAGGCAGTTCAGGAGTCTCTGCTTGTGGAAGGTGGTGCACGTAGGAACAGCACTTGGCTCGGACGCTTGCTCCCTGGCATCCTGACTCTCCGGCTCCAGGACAGCCAGCCAGTCGTACTCCAGCTGCAGCTTGTTCGGTTTGCCCATCATGAGGTAGACTTCTGCCAGCGTGAGGCTCTCCGAAGTTCGTATGCTCCATCCTTCTTCCCTAACCTGCTGAGAGAGCCTGCTCGGGTCATCCTTGAGAGACTTTGAGCTAGATTGTCCCTGAGGTGGAGGTGGAAACGAGGAGCTCAGCTTCTCTTGAGAATCCTCCATTACCACGTCGGGTACCTCCCTGGCCCCCGCGTCAGGCTGCGGGCTGGGGCCATGGCTGGCCTGCGGGTCAGGCCGGGCCGGGCCGCCGCCGGGCCAGGCCGGGCTGCCCCTGGGCAGCTGTGCTGGACACGCGTCAGGCGCCTCTGTGCTCCCACTCGGAAAGGCCACAGGAGAAGAATTCCCAGCTGCGGGAGTACAGTCTTTTCCATGCAGTTTCTCTGTGCAAAAACATTTCTCTGGGACGATCAGGTCCTGACAGGACTTCATGTACCGTGGGAAGGGATCAAGCAGAGAGAGCTCCTCCACATCAGGGATCTTCCTGCAAGCGCAGGCTGTGCTGCACGACGGGAGCCCGGCTGCCTGGTCACTGTCCAGGGCCTCCCTGCCTTCCACACAGAAGGTCGCTGAGCTCAGCTTTTCATGGCCCCCTTCTGGATCCTGAAGGCCAGGAGGGGGCTTGTTGAGGGAATTAGCAATGCCAAAGTGTGAGGCTGCTCCTTCCATGAGAGCAGTCTCTGGGGAAGCCTCTTCAGTGCTTGCAGAAACTTCAGCTGTGGGCTGAGAGGTTCTGCTCGATTCTGTAGTGCTCTCTGCCCTTCCAACACTCTTACCACCTTCCGTTCCCCGGGTGTATTTTAGCTGTCCCCTGGCTGTCCCCTGACCACTCTGTATGCCTAGGATTTGTGCCGGGGGTAGCAAGTGAGAGTCCTTTGTGTTCTGTTTGCATTTGCCAGTCTCCTGCCAGTGCACTGTGCAGAAAGCCTTGGAGTGGACCACTCTGGCCACCCCAGGCAGCGGCGTGAGGGTGCAGTTCTCTCCTGGAAAAAGATGGAGCATCACCTTCTCCTCCGAGAAGCTGCCTCTTGTTTCTGCGTCTCTGGTGTCTTGAAGCTGCCGTTCCTCTAGTGTTTTACGCTAAAAAAGATGCGTCAAAGAATACAACCACCATCTGTCCTGTCAAAAGCAGCACCTGGTAGCCTAGTTTGCAAATAAAAAGAACATATAATTGACCAGGGATATTTTCTCAGCGCTAGGTATGAACACTCTGACCATTGAAAATGAAGTCTTTCTGTGTTGATATGGGCTACACTTAAGATTTGCAGCAATCATGTATCTATGTTCCAAGCAAAATTTCTGATCTCTGCTTCAAGCCCCGCTGCGATTTTAAAACTTTTTTTTTTAAACAGCAAAATAGATTCTACTTTCTGTAAGTGTTTTGACATGTAAGTGTCGAATGCTACACTGCCACTTTGTCCAGGCACACAAATTAAAAAGAAAAGCTCAAAAGCTTGAATAAAGGGACTGAGAACAGGACACAGCACGCTACTTCACAGGAGAATATAATGGCTGATATCTCACAAACCCTTCTACTGTGTGAGTCAAAGTTCAGAGACAGGGATGAAATGAATCAATTCAGCTCATCTTTACAGAAATGAAATAAAGGCAGGGAGCTTCTTTATTACCAACTAGCTTTTCAGGGCATCAGAGCAGAGAAGAGTTTAGGAAGAAGTGAAATGCTTGGGGTTTCCTGCTTCCTCACTGCAGTGATGCTGAGATACTGACCTCAATCTTTATTAAACATGGCCTGGTAAATACACTAGGGAGATTCACATTTTTGACACAAAATCGCTCCTGGGACACAGCATGCAGCACAGTTTAAGCAGGAAAAGGATACGATGCGCACTTCGTGGAGGGCCCACTTCTGCTTCAGGAACTCAATGAGGCTGGAGACCTTCCGATGCAGCTCCACTATCATCCTGTGTGCAAGACACGCAGAGCAAAGCAACAGAGCGAAGCGTCAGCAGAAGCTCCAGTCACTGCTGCAGCACTGGAGTGGGAATCAGGGGAGACACTGGCATTCTGCAACTACCCGCTCCCAGTCTCAAAGCAAAAGGATGAATTTTTTATCTGGCAAGGCTCACAGTTGTGAAATATTTCAAAGAGCCTATCAAGTAACTTTGATTGCTGTGACTCAAGATATCAGCTTCTCCAGATGCAAGGAGAAGGGAAAAGAATGGAAGATTTAGACAACTGCAATCTGCAGGAAGAGCACAAGGTTACCACACCAAATACAGAAAGAAAGGGGGCTTTTTGTCCTCAATGCATTTTACAAAAGAAAAATAAAACAAACAAACAAAACCCTTCAAATGCTAAAATCCCCCATTCTCCTCTCTGAATACTACTTGGCCCTCATACGCAACCACTCCCTTCGAAAGAAAATCAGCATCACAAAGATCTACTGTGTTTGCTCCCAGTTCCAGGCTAGGAATATAAGTACTAAGACGAACAGCCAGGGATAACACTGAAACAGCAGCATCAACGACATCTTTGTGGGAACAAGGTCAAACTATGAACACCTTTCCTTCAGTTGACACATTCTGCATTTTGCTGCAGGCTCCTCTAACCACTGTTTTACCTCGTTCTCTATGTCTTGGGCACATTCAATACAAACTTAAGCAGAACTAAATAAATGCAAAAGCAAATAAATGCAAACAAAAGTTTTACTTGCATCCTCTGCTCTGACAACTGTGTGTAAATGGCACCAAGGACCTTACTCTCCAGCTCTAGCAGTTCCTTTAAGTACTCAAATGAAAAGGTATAAAGAATAATGGTAATCTAATTTTCAAGTCTGAGACCTCATGATCTGCAAGAATCACATACTCTGGTTGGACAAAACCTTCAGACTGAGAGCATTTAGGCAAAGTGCCTTATCATTCAGGTATGTGCTGCCTCGCTGGCAGCCAGCATCCCGGACAGAGAAGATGTTTGGATGCTGCCCATGTATTTCCCTGTTCCACACTGAGCACGATTAGCCCATTCCTACCTAAGCCGTGGATTCTGGGCAAGACTCTGCACTCGTGCCCATGCATGATTATTCCGTGGCTGCAACTCCACAGGGACCTTGAGAGGAAGACGCACTGGCTTCTGGTCCTCTTCATCGCTAATGCCTGAAGCGAAATGAAGCGAAAGGCAGGGGTAAAACCAAGTATAACTCTCTCAAGCAGAAAGCTGTATTCTCAATTAGATGAAGAAAAACATCACAGGTATCACAGCATCATCCAGAGACAACTCAGGCAGCTCAGCTTCACCAGCAGAGCCTACTTTCTTAGGTTATCTTCCCATATATTAATGTTTTTCCTTGGAAACTGCACTGGTATTGGCAGCTTCTAGTTGAGCATCTAGAAACTTCATACAAATATTTTGTTTCGTAACTTTAAACTGCACTGATACTACTTACTGAGAGAAAGTGAGGTCATACACAGCTGAACTGAAGAAGGTGAGAAAAGCCTGAAAAGCTCAATACTAAACAACATACTGCTGCCTATTGACTGGCACTAGAGAAGACAGCACTGCCTTCACATATTGAAAGTTTTATTATTATCTCATCTTCTTTACTGTGAGGGTGACAGAGCCGCAGGAACAGGCTGCCCAGAGAGGCTGTGGAGGCTCCTTCTCTGGAGATCTTCCAAACTCGCTGGATGCCGCCCTTTGCCCCTGCTCTGGGTGTCCCTGCTGGAGCAGGGGTGGGACTGGATGATCCCCAGAGGTCCCTTCCGACCTTAATGATTCTGTGATGCAGTTATTTCTTTTGCCACCTACCTAATGTTGTATTCCAAGATTTAGGAGGCTGAGTGAAGCTTAAATTTACTGGGACTATACAAGCAAATGTCATAAAAGGACAAGAGGGACGTATCTCTCTCATATGTTTCCAACCATCTGCTGAAACTCTTTCACATTCCAGTGTCTCTTACGTACCATCTGGATCACAGAGTTTCTTCAAAGCCCTGCACATTGGAGCTTTGATTCGAAGGTTTCTCCCTTTGTAGCGAACAGTTGTGGCCCTAAATATATTGAAAAAGAAACAATTATAAGCACAATGTAAAAAAGTTTGTGAACAATATTCTCCAGTTGTGGAACAGACATTGGTGCTATTTTTTCTCCTTGTTCTTCAACTTCAGCCCAACTTGAATTGTCTGAAACCAAACAGAATGTCACACCAAGTCCAACAGTCAATCTCCATCAGGGAAAAGATTTTTAAAAGACACAGCACCCGACATGGATAGCTATGCAATAGTGATGAACGTAAAACCAAACGGTCACCTTGGCCCCTAAATGGGAAGCCGTGATGTAAGTGAAGGGTATTGCCTGCAAGTATGATTTACCAGAAGGTCAGTGTTCTTTAGAAAACAAATCTCCTAAAACCAAGTTTAACCGTATGCAGCTAACACTTTTTAAAAGATGTTTTATACCTAAACCAAGTTTCATTACAAGGGAAGACAGGACTAGTACGAATCACTCTCCCTGACTCACATCAAGACAGAAAACTTCTGCTGCACTCAAATTTAGTTGCTGAATATCCGGAAAACTGCAGACTCTGTGTTCTGAAGTTCTAGGTGGAGAATCTCCACTTTTCATCCCGAGGACAAACCTTGGTCCTGAGTGATTAGAAATGGGTGCAGAGTGCAAAACTGGTACTGTAGCTGGCAGAAACGTGGAAGGATTTGACGGCAAAGAAAGAACATGGAGTGGATAAAAACCTTCACATATCTATTGCTTTTCTCTCTCCAGCACTTACCATTGTTTTCCCCAGAACAGCAAATAGAAAAAGGGCAGAGGACTACAGCTCTTCCCCTCTTCTGGGGTTCCTAGGAATGTTCTTGTTACCTCTGTTGATTGTTTTACACGGAGGTATCCCAATATCCCAGTGGTTCGTAACAAATACCCTTGCCATTTAACGACAGGGATTCACAGAAAGCTCCAATTACTCACGGCAAAAAAAAAAAATAATGCAACTCACTTCGCCCTGAAATCTCAGGCTTCTAGTGTCAGATCTCTTGTTACGGTATCAGAGAGCTCCATTCCTACCCCTAATGCTGCTCATGCTTTTTGGAAAGCTCACACTGAGATGATCGAGTGCGAGAATGTGCAAGACTGCTGGAAATTGGGAAGTCTGGAAAGCCAGGGAATGGTTGTAGGCACAACGACGTTGCTGTGCTGCTAACAGGCTGTTATTACGGTTCTCTGCCTTGTTCCTGCACGCCGTTAATGCCATCAAAACCACCGTAATCCTTCCCTCTCTGAGTGAAGACATGCCTGGTGTTCCCTCCGCTTACTCAAGGAGGAAACAGTTTCATAATGGTCTTGTACAAAATCCACTCAAGCCAGTGGAAAATTAATGCAATTAACTTAATGCACCTTGAAATAGCCCCCTAAATTGTAAGTCTGCAGTCCAGCTGTAGCAGGGCACTGAGGGCAGTGCCACCAACTTCTTTGGACAACTTACACCAGCTGAAGCTTTCCCTGCACCTTGAGTTTAATTAAAGCAGCATTTTTTCCAATCAAATCGTGCCCTTGAAGTAGCCACATGCAAACAAAGAGTCTTAACTGTATTATTATTTTAACTGTAATGGTGGAAGGATGCAAGAGAGGCAAAGTTTGTGGGAAGAAGCATTGCTTTTTCTTAGATTAACTCATTTACTATCTAAACCAGAAAAGCTTCTTTTTTCATGGGGCTTGAAAATGATCTAAGGAAGAACATGAATGCTCAGAAGGCCATTTCATCCATCTACATCAGCTGAAATAATACACCACATTTTCTATCCCTATAAGCTTCACTTCAGATAAACAGGCAGACACTCATGTTAAAATTTTATATTATACAAGGGATATTCTACCTCACCTACACAAACACGTAATTGTTCAACAGGAACTTCAAGCCAAAAATTGCAGCCAAAGGTTGAAAAACATGTATCAAGAAACTACCACAATATACCACTAATTTTGCAAAACATTAGGACATCAGGAACATGCAAATGTTAAGATTATGCATCCTAGACTCTTAGCTGCATTTGTGTCTGTGCTTAAAGGCCACGGAGAGAAAACAAGAAAAATACACAGAAAAGGAATGTGAAGCATATTAATATATTACAGAAAAAGATATTTTAAAAAATCCATAAAGAAGAAAGTGATAGAGGAAGAAAGACAAATGCAAAACTGCTGACAGTCCTGAAAGGGGAGCAGCAGCTATTGCTGAGTATTGAGTACTGGGCAAGAACAGCAGCTTAGCAATGAGCACCAAAACATGCTCCTCAACAGACAAACCCAAAACATGCAGGAATTCACATGAAAAACCTCACGTGCTAAGACCTCTGGCTATTTGGCTACGGCATCATGATTTTTATTTTCATTGCAGCCTTGAATCTACAGCATGAGAAGTAGCAGCACCTCGGCTCCCTGGATCTCGGTGCTCTGCTTGAAAGTCAGGAAAAACGCCCCGGATTCCCGTTTCTAGAAAGCATGGTGGGTTTAAAGCAACCTAGGGAGAACCTGATAATAAAGTTTTTCTACCTTTAAATTAGTATAGAAGTCGATATCTTTGCATACTGTAGCTTCCTAATTGATAACACATGGGATAAAAGGGTCCTAAGGAATAGTTTTATTAATTTAAAGGAAAAAGAAGGTAAAAAGTAGTAAAAGGACAGTCTGCAACAGAACTAGTCTCAGCTTAAAACACTGCTCTAGCTAACCTCTTGAATGGGTCCTGGATCTGTACAAATGAAGAAAATAGTAAAAGTTAAATGTTAAAAAAGATTACCACACCAAATATGCATTGTTAATTTATTATTAATAATTTATTATTAATAATAAAATAATTATTCTTTTATTATTATTATTAATTGCTATTTTATTATTATTTTACTTATTTCAGGGAGCAGTAAATTCCTTCAGTGGTACACCATATGCCTTTCCTAGGAAATCAGAGGCAATGGAGGATCATCCCCCCTAAGCACTGGAATGGAGAGACTAATGTCCATTAAGACATCTGTCTTTAGCTGTCTTAAAAAATAGTAATTCTTACTTGTGTTATCAAGATCCTTCCAACTTGAGAAAAAAATGCTAACAGACTCTGAATAGTGTCTGCAATGTGTTACAACAACTGCTTATTTCTTTTATTTTCTATTTCTTGTATTACTTGCATTTTTTAAATTTTGTGTTTCTCTGTTTTTAAGTCTCATTCATGAGTGCTAAAAATTTACAAACATATTCAGAGAACACACATATTTCCTCAACTTTATTTTCTTATTAAATGCAAAGATTTTTACAAAACCTCAGTTAATAAAAAGGTTTCATTCCTGAGAGTGAAACAAAACAAAAAACCTTTGGTCTCAAGTCTATTAAAACCTGTTTCTCAACAGTGCTGGGGTACTGCCACAAAACTGCCTTTCTTTTTATATTCCCCCAGCACGTGATGTGTCATCATGGCTGTAATAAAAGCTACTACCACAAGATTGGGCAGAAAGTGATTTGGATACCCCATAATTTCTTTCTTCCCTAATTGTAATTAGTAATCCTAAAAACATTAAGCAGCTTGTGGGGATCCATGCTGATAGGAGTACGCAGAATTACCTGGGCACTGGAGGAAGCTGACAGGGCAATTCTTACCTTCCCTGGGATTTATAAATACTGACACTATCATCTATTTCCTAAAAGACCATTGATTCATATAACAGCAGCACCAACGGCACGTATTTGAAACGGCCAGTTAAATCTATCTTCAAGCACCATTAACTACCTGTGACCTTGGTGATGGGCTCAGCCAGGAAGAGTGGCAGTCTAATGTTGCTACCAGCATCTCACAGGTTCATTTGGCTTTGCTAGATCACACATTTTTTACAGAAAGGCAGAGATAATGAGTAACATAAGCAAAATAAGCCGAGTGCAGGATTCCCGGGGCTACAGCCAGCCTGCCAATAACTGCCAGGTGGCTCCTCATAATCTCAGACTCGCCTGACCCTTCCTATGGTCAAATGAGGCTAACATTTATCTACTGCAGGAAAACATCAGAATAAGGCAGTATTAGCAATCGGGATAGGGATTCGGTTTCTCTCAGGGCTTCAGTATAGCAACAAACCTTACGAAGTGTGGTGCACCCTGAGAGGAAAAGAAGGAAAAATCAGACTTAAAGAAATGTGTCAGGAACAGAAGTAAAAGAGCTGCTTGCGCATAGATAGAGCCATCAGGGGTTCTAATGACCCTGAACAAACTGAAGGGAGAAAATAGAATCTATGGGAATATACACCATGTGTTTGCTGGTGGAAACACCGGCTGCCCAACTCCCTGCACATGCATGGGATTAATCCACACAGTGTAAAGAGACAGGTCTTAATACAGATAAAAAAATAGAATTAAATATGTTAATAGAGATACAAAATTAAATATTGTTTCCCTGCACAGTGTGCTCTTGCAAGGAGACAGTTTCCCAGTAAATGGGCAAGAACTGTAGGTGAGAAAACAGAGTGGAGACACGTGAGACAGAGTGAAGAACTAAGGACTTCATCATGGGAAATGCTGTAGATGAGAAGTTCCTCAAGCAGCAAGTACTTGACTGAGGTGTTAGTTGGCTAAGTGAGCAGTCTCGTTTACTGTGGTTTAGTCTATTTGGATGATGCAGGACTCCCCAGAACAGGTCAGAACGGCTGCCCACAGCCTAAACTCACCTCAGGAAATTAATTTCTGTGAGGAAGACAGAAAAAAACAAAGCCTCCAGGCTTTAAGGCAAAAAAACAGCAATATGCCTGATAACTCCAATTAAAAAAAAATGTTTTAAGTACCAGCTTGTTATATAAAAATTTACTGACAGGGATGATGAGGAAAAAGATCGTCTTATTAAACAAACACCAAACCAAATGTTCACTTCTGCTCTAATTTCAAATTCCACCTTTAACAGAAGAATGAACAAGTGATTTCATAAACAATCAGATTTGAGACCTGCAACTGTACAAAGCCCAGCTCTCAGGAGAGAGAAGATTAATAAAGGAAGAGAGAAGATTAATAAATTATAAAGAAACTCATCTGGAAAGCTCAGCTGGTGAGCAATAAAAAAAAA